ACCTTAAATAGTCAGCAAGCTCTTTGGAATGATAAAAGAAAATTGGACTTCATCTGGTTGGTGAATGATAATTTATAACTGGAACTTTATCCTTCAGTACCAAAGGTGCTTCCAAATGGAGGCGTCATGGTACTGTCACAATGCATTGTACAGTAGTTCCATTTTTAATTCCTTAATACATTTTCTGTGGTTAAGAAAAATGATGATAGAAGCAGTGGGAAAACATAGGAGGATTAGAAGACAATAACATCTGGATCCCCTGTAAAATTCTGTGAATATGACAGGCTGATTGCACAGTAAAAGCTTCTTCTGGAACTGCAGCCGGTTGCCTAGATGTAGCAGTTTAGCTAAATGCATGACAAGACTTTTAGTAGTCCAATTCAAAAATACACAAATTTTTAAAAACTAATTTCATGTCCATCTGTCTTGCCATAGGCAAATTTCAAACTGTACTTGCTTGTCAGCAGTTTCCGTAATTTTAGCCTCTGTCTCTCAGTCTCTCTCTTTTTTCATGTAACCTTGTTCAACCGTCTAACAGATAGTTATATACCATTAATAAAATGCTCACATCCAAGAGGATGTTGACAGTTCTTTTGCTAATGTTTTCTTTAAAAGCATAAAATATATTTGATGTCTGCAAGCTTAGTTGGCTGCTAGACAAATTAATGAACTCTAGGCCTATTGGTGGTTATTTAGCTATGATACACATTGAGCCTGTGCATACTGCTTTGATGGCTAGATGCTATGTACAGGAGATTGCCATCACATCGCCATCATCTCTTGCTTGTGAACTTCCAGAGGCATCTGGCTGGCTACTTTTGGGAGACAGCATGCTAAACTTCAACTAGAACTCTGGTCTTATCTGGCAAGGCAATTCTTAGACTAATCATCACATGTGGAGTGTGGTGATTCTATCTTATGGGTTCATATGCTATGAAACTCTAGAGTATTTTAAAAGTTATATTTACTGTTGTTATATTAGAAAAATCAGGACTCAGAAGAAAGGGTCTTGAAAGTCACAGTAGAATCTGTTAACACAAGTCTAGCAGATATTTAGGTTCCCACAAACTCACCAATGTAATCTTGAAGGAAGGAGAACGTTTTATGTCTAAAAATCATGAAGCCCAGGACTTGTCTCAAACTAAATTCTGAGAATAATCCATCAAGAGTGTGCTTAGGTTTGTACAAAATCATGGATAATTAACTACAGCATGTTGTAGTGTTGAACAGGGCTGAACAGTTCCCTGCAGAGTGGCTTATTTTTGGATAACAAGACATCTTGACAACCCATTGCTTGACATAGGGGTTGTTGGACCCACAATGGGTTGTAAAGTTGTCTTAACCTGGAAGACTGATCCCATCATGGAATCAGGCAAGTAGCAAGCAAACCATCTGGCCAAAAACAGCATAACCTCCCTTGCCATACTTGTCCAGTTTGCCTGTGCCACTGCCAGCCACTCCACCAATGCCCAAGCAGAGTGCTATGGTTGGCCTTGAGTATCCCACTCAGTGAGATCATACTGATTCCATCTTGCTCACGTCCAGGACAAAGAAACCTCCTTTGTCCAGTGCAGAGCACCTGGCTGTGCTCATCTGTAGGCCAAGTGCTGCTACTTAGCTAAACTGTTCAGGAGAAAACTATCCAGGTACCCAAACAGTAAGAATCTTCTAGCATCCATCTCGGACTTGGAGATGACCCATTACTTGGACAGTCAGGAGACAAAAGTCAGATGATTCCTTTGAGATCTCTGTCCAAGCAAGGGGGAGAAGACCAGGGGAGATATGCTCCACTGAGAAAGAAGTGTGTGTGGGGCATTCTTTTCCACCATGTGTGCCAGGAGCAAGTCTCCTTAGAACCAAGAGAGTTGAGGCAGGTCCAGGGGCGATTGCCTAGGGTTTCTCTGATACTGATGCCCAGGTGTGATTTTTTCCTACCAAACAGGGAAAGACCTGATACATGTCCTGGAAGAACTTTGCCACAAATGTAGTGTATCTTCAGGAAACCTGGTAGGCAGTTTAGGACAGGACTGTATTAGCCAGATTGTATGTTCCCCTTTATTTCTCTTTTACACTTGCTTTGTGTCCCAAATCAGACCAACCTGTTTACTGTTCTGTACATTTACTGAATCCTTAATAATTCTGTTTTCACCAAAACCTAGATTGTGTGCTTTGGGGGTGAAAGTGGGGAGGTGTACAATAGCTGTGCCATGTTTTTGGGTTATGTTGAGGCATGTGAAGATCTGGCTGTGACAGCCGCTTTCAAATTACCCAGACAGAGATTTGGAACAATCAACACTGATCTACTGTCTTTAAAAATTTTTGCTGTAGGTGTACAATGATATGTAAAATGATGAGCCCAATTGTCCTGTTGGGCACTCTATGGGTATTTCCATGAACAACCAGTACTGCATAGCTCATTCACAGAGTGGGTAGTGTTGTACAAACTTCCTCTGTTTTACTTTCTCAACACTACATCTTTTTAGTTTAAGTGAAAGTGGCCTGTTGTGTTAATCTGAATATCCTAGTTTGATAGTCTGATAAATCAGAAAATGCTAGCATGTAATTAAAATTGTATCTTAATGAATATACCCTAAGGGAACAGATATAGAGTTGTATAAGTAACCCGTAATTAGGGGATCTTAATTTCTGGTTGCCTTATCTAGCAGTTTTCTTCCTTTTTTCCATGTATGAGATTTGGTTAAAAAATGTGTATGCCAGAAAGCTGTATACTGAAATAGAATCAAGATGTAGGAGACAGTATAGTTGGAGGTTATTCAGTTTTCCTTGAGTGTTTTTCCCCCAGCCTTTTAGTTGCAAGGAGTCCAGGTATTCAGTGGCATTGAATTGACTTCAGGAATGAATCTGTGCATATTCTTGACAACAGTGCTACTTTGCTAATTAAATAATTTGCATATAATGAAGCATAGAGAACTGCACAAACATGGTAGGGTGGTCAGGACAAAGAAAAGCAGCTGGTAATCTGAGCATCTGGTAGTCATAAAAAACCCTGTATCTAGACCTTTACAATTTAAATGTATTACAACTTGCTGCATCAGATTATCATGGTTGAAATATATGGGTTGGTGTACTTTGTGACTTCAACATTTTTGTTGAACATTTCATGTTACTGAGTTCTTGTCTAGCTATGTCCTTTTTGTTTTAATAAATAAGGACATTGTGAATCCCAAGAGAAATAAAGCCACCTAAATTACAAGTGCATATTGAAAGGAAATGCTTCTCATCCTTGTATGGAAGCATGATCATGAATTTAATGCAGAGATGGTGATACTATTTTCCACGAAGATTCACATTCCCCTCTTGGTGTAATCTCTCAGGACTTTAAGCAGTAAGCACAGCTAAACTCAAATGTGGGTGGGGCCACAGTTTTCTTTTCTTCTTTCTTTCTTTTGCCCTCCCTCCCCCCTTTGGTCTCCTTTTCCTTCCTGCTGGCAGGAAGGACAGATGTTTCTCACCAGAGGTCTGTACTTTTAGAGGGCTTTGACTGCTCAGTCCATTTTGGCTTATCACGCCTCATTTGCCCTTCCTTGCAGATGTGCAGGGCTCCCCTGGTTTCTATTTCACCATCTGTTTCATCTTTCTCCCTCTGCTGCCCTTCCACTTTCTTTCCCTCTGTGGTTCCCTCTGCATGAAATTAGGTAAAAGTGGACAGGTTGCCCCCCCCCCCATATGCTTAATAGTTCAGGAATCACTGCTTTTCTATGGCAGTATACAAGCAAAAACAAACACTACATTGTCATGAATGAATTATTTTCTAAATGCATGTGGAATAACTGGAAAGTTTTTTATGATGGTAAACAGGGTAGTAGTGAAAGGATGGAAGGCAGGAGGGATCATCAGTTTTGATCATGTTGAGTTTCAGTTATATGGCCAAGCAGCAACAAATAGTCTGGCAAGGCAGGCTGCTTTTTCTCCTAAATTGAAGTGATAGAAGCATAGAAACAGAGCGAGTCAGAAGGGGTCTCCTGGGCCATCTAGTCTGACCTCCAGCACCAGCCGGCTCTGCTCATGGCATGCCCACCATGTGCATGTCCAGCCTATCTTTGAACACCCTCACCGATGGAGCCTCAACGACCTCGCATGGAAGCCCATTCCACACCCTCGGGGTCCTGACTGTCAGGAAGTGCTTCCTGGCATCTAAATGGAACCTTGGCTCCCTGAGCTTTGCTCCGTTGGAGCATGTCCTGCCTTCCTCTGCAGGGGAGAACAGATCTCTACCCACCTCCGTGTGGCATCCCCTCACATACCTGTATGTCGCCAACATAGGCCCAACATCATCTGGGAAGCAGTGCCCTTAAGTTGGATACTTCTGGTGGCTTTGCTTAGAGGTAAGGCTAGGTAGCAATTACTCAGAAAAACTATGGAAAATCAGAAGCAATTCTCTAGGTTCTCTGGTGCTCACTTCAAGAACTGCAGGTGCCTTTCTTGGTCTTTTTGTTCCTGTTGTATTCAAGATTGGTACTTTGCACCTTTAATGATAATCATGTCGCAAACTCCTTCTGCTTCTATTCTTATCAGATTTGCAATTAGTATCTAATTGGATTCTGCAAAGCCATTCATTGTAATATCATACACAGGGGAATGGGCTTAATTAAAATAAGCACAACATCCGTTTTATCTAATTTTCAGTTCCTCTTTGCAATTAATTGACAAACCCCTGAATGGTCAGTAGCTAATGTTCTGTAAAATTCATATTTTGCACAGTATTGTTCATCTATCTGTCATTGCAAAGTGCTGGATGTTTTATAGCAATTACTTTTAGATTGGCTGAGGAAAAATTCTTATTATGGCAATAGGTTTTTTTTAGAAGAGGTTACTTTTTTCTTATTTTTTAACCCTCGATGGAAGTTCCCAGCTATCATGCTTTAGCAACAGATTTAAGGAAGGTCCGAATCGGTAACTGGTCAGATCAGTTGCTTAAATAAAAGTCTGTTCACTTGATAGAAATGAAAATGGCTTGTGCACTCTGCTTCTTTTTACAGAGAGGGCTATTGCGAAACATGAAGTCCGGGAAATTGAGCAACGTCATACAATAGATGGCTCTCGGTCAGATGTTATTCCAGATGAAGAAGATGATGTGGTGATCATTTATAATCGAGTACCTAAAACTGCAAGCACATCTTTTACCAACATTGCCTATGACCTTTGTGCTCGGAATAAGTATCATGTTCTACATATCAACACAACCAAAAATAATCCTGTTATGTCTCTGCAAGATCAGGTAGGTCTCCTTAAGTGCTGTACCTTTATGCAGTCTGATTTACTGTCAGAAGTACAGGAGGACCCCCATATATCTGTGTGGAAATTCCAAGCCCCCCAGAGAATGCTTGAAACCATGGATAGTAGCAAACACTGTACAACTTACTATGTAGTAGCAAGTGGGTGCCCGCAGACAGTGAACAAGAAGCTGCAGAATAATCTCAAACTATTTACTCAAAATAAACTCAAACAATATATATTTCTTTCCCCCACTTTCGTTAATTCTTACCTCAGCACTTTAAGACTTCTCTTTTGGGTTTAGGTCAACCATAGTTAACTGAAAATGTGGTAACCATGCCAGTGGATACATGGTCCTGCTTTACTGTGTATGAGGAAACATCTGTATCCCAAAAGAAAGGAAAAACTGCTTCTAGTAAAATTGTTTAGAATCTGGCAAAACAGAAAGCTTTTATATCAGACTTAGATTAAATAATCTTAGATTATTTAAATTATTTTATTATTTGAATTATTAAATTGAGTTTTAACTTAATTTTGCATGAAGTGACATTTGTAATACTGGGTTAAAGTATATAGTGTTTATTGTTTGTTGTAGTAAGGTAGAACTTTTGATGTTTCCTCCAAAGCATTAATCTCCTGATGTTGTTTCTGTATGGCTAATAATACATCTCTCCATCCTGTTGATCAAGCACAAAGCCTTGGCTTTCTTTAATACCTTCCCTTTCTTTGATCCTCATGTTCAACTCTATCAGCAAGTCAAATAGCTGCACCCATGCAATAGTGTAAAACTACAGCCTTTTATTTTGGCGTAACTTCTGGTTCATGCTCATGCTATTTCATATGTTGAGTATTGTGACATGTAAAGATTCATTTAGGGAGCAATTTTGTAGCTACTACACAGTATCTGAGAGCTGTAAGTATTTCACATTCCCCAATTCCCCAGTATGAGGTCAGGGATAGCACTCTGACTTCAGAGGGAGAATTGGCATTCTGCTACCCTGAACTCACAGTGGCTACTCTCCATGCTGGCTACTCTCTGAGTTCAGGACTTTGATCTTGGCAAAAGGGGATGTTTTGGTGTGCAAGGAAGAGAGAAGGCCAAGTTCTGAGTTACCTGAGGCCTCTCTGGCCTTATTCAATCCCTTTCTGAAGTGCTGGATTTTTAATGATGCATCTCTAAAATGGCCCATCTAATAAAAATGCAGGGCAGGAGGATGTGGAGGCAAAGGTTACCTGTACTACCTCTCCCACTCTGCCTAGCATGCATGTAAACCACTGAGTTTGGGGGTTTATAATTGAGGGGGCAACCCATAGGATTATACCCTTAGTAACACAGATGACCACATCATTATAAGCAATCTCTTTGCATTTTTCCTTTTTCCTTGTCAACGTCATTAAAGCTAGGTGCTGAAACATTTGGCACTGGGTGACAGAATTGCCAGGTGATGTCAGTGGGCAAGTACAAGGAGCAATAATCGGATTTGCAGACTGTACAAAACTGGGTGGAATAGCAAACACACTAGAAGTCAGAATGAAAATCCAGGGCAGTCGTGATAAAAAATCAAAAGAATGAGATTCAGTAGGGACAAATGCCTAGTCATCCATCTAGGAAAAAGACGCCAAATTCATTGACACAAGATGGGGGAATATATGGTTCAACACAACTGAACAGGAAAAAGATCTTGGAGTTATTGTGGACAGTAGGCTAAATATGAGCCAACAATGCGATGCAGCAAATGCTGTTTTGGGATGTATTAATAAAAGTATTACTTCCAAATCACAAGAACTAATAGTTCCCCTATAGTCTTCACTAGTCAGACCTCATCTAGAATACTCTCCATTTCTGGGCATCAAGGTTTAAGAAAGATGCAGAAATATGAGAAAGGGTCTAGAGGAGAGGAAGAAGGGTGATCCACAGTTTGGAAACATGGTGGATGGAGGATGATCCACGGTTTGGAGACTGGGAAATCTGGGTATGTTCAGCCTTAGGGGGTTGGGGGGCATGGTATCATTCTGTAAGTACCTGAAAGACTGTCTGAAAGAGGAGGTTCATGATCTTGCTGATGCCAGAGTATAGGACACGGAATAATCAACTCAAGTTGTGACAACTGAGATTCAGGCTAAATATCAGGAAGAGTTTCCTCACTGTCAGAGCAGTACAACAGTGGAACCAGTTGCCAAGAGAGGTCATGGGCTCTCGCACCTTAGAGACATTCAAGGCAAACCTGGGCAGTCATTTGAGTGGGATGGTGTAAATTGGTATCCTGCAACAGCAGGGGGTTGGAACCAATGGCCTTCTTGGCCCCTCAAGCCAGCACTAGCTTCTCACTGCCCAGTACCCTGATTAAAGCTTAGCAATAATGGTTAGGCTTCATTGAGGGGCCAAGTCCCATTCACTAGAAGAAGCCAGAAGAAGGCTTCACCAGTCAGGTCGAGAAGTTCCACAGATTGGACGTTCCACATCCCTTATTAAAATATAATCTAGGCAGAGCCATGTTGCTTCTTTAGTTTGTACAGCACCTGTCACATGGTCAGCACTAACCAAATATTTATTGGTGGTGAAGAAGCTTCTGTCTTTCTTGCAGAAACATTGTTTATTGCAAAACATTTTACTGAGAGAACTGTTGTGTCCAGGGGAAAATATTCTGCAATATTTAAAAAAAATAAATGTATATTCAACACCTTCAACACGCAAGAATTCTCAAGGCACTCATGCTGTTTTCCAGCAATCATTTGAAGCATAGTTTTCCTATAAAGCTTAGAGGTGTAAGGCCTAAGACTGTAATTAAATTCATTAAATATAATGCTGAATTGTGTCCTGTAGCATATCTACTAAACTTTCTGTAATTAGTGACTAATTTTATTCTGAAGGTATAAAACATTTCCCTCAGGTTTTGCTGGGGCCCTGCTGGCACATTTGGTTCTTTTCTTTGATCTTAGAAAACTGTTGAAATTTCCATCTGCTAAAAAGTGACATCTTTATGCCAGTCTCTGCTTTTTCTTTTCAGGAGTTTTTGTTCTCCCTCAGAGTATATTTGAGCTCATCTCAGCTTCAGACATAAATAGCTTAAGTATGCCAAAAGTTCAAAAATAGCTTTTCTGTTACTTTTCTAAATGTGTCAGGGAAATATACTTTTGCAGAAATGTGTTCACATTTTTGGCCATTCTAAATTTAATTCCAGATAATATTTTAAATTTGAAATGATAAATAATTATCTTATATTCTGTGTTATATTCTGTGAATGAGTAAGTAACAGCAAATATGTTTCCAGGACTAATATGGTCTTGAATAGTTCATTGTACTGATGACTAATGGATATTTGTTAGCTTACTTCAGAACTCTTTCACCCATCAAATACTGAAATATCAAAGTAAATAACATTACTTTATAGGTACAAAAAATGGTTTCTCATGCTGTAGATGTCAGGAAACCCTACATTGGACAGGTTCACATCTTCTGCCTAGGTTCACTTTCTTGGGAGCTGTATGAAGGCAAGTGATTGTGGAGAATTTGAAGTTAAGGCAACACACACCTTTAAAAATAAGGAGAGTCATGTACTAGTGTTTGCCATCCTTGTGCTTGCATTGTCTGAGTTAAGGACTGCCTTAGACTTGCATTGATTGAACTAATCCATTATTGTGGACGTTGCCTGGCAGTGGCATTTCAAGCAGGTTTCTTCTTTAGCCCTACGACAAGATTCCCAGGTGTGCATGAGAGATGGCTTGTTTTAGTGGGACTGATAGCTCAAACTCGGAGGATAATGTGGGGATGGCTGAACCAGAACAGGCTCAGAGCTCACACTCTGATAACAGAATTGTTATAACTGATGGACCGGCACTTCCCCTGGATGAAAGTAACTCAAGGACACCCACGGGGCCTGCTCTCCCTCCCACCTGTGGGAATGAGCCAGATGAAGGATGGGAGCAGGGAGATTTTTCAGATGGAGAACACGAGCCTCTGGAAGATGTGGACCTGAGGGCCCATCATCACAGCCACAGGCTGAACCAGTTAGGGGCTCAGAGTGCAGAATGCAGATGTCTGCATTTTCACAGCACCCCACCTTCCAGAGACTGGCCCCAAATGGTTCATAAGCAAAGCTTTGAGTAAAGGGGTGCAGAGAGGGGTCACTTCTTATGAATGCTCAGAGACTTGTGAATGCTTAGATTTCCTGTGTAGAATAAAGTTTCTTACAAGAAGTGCTGGAGTGACTGTCTTGCTTGGGAGGGGACACCCCTCTCATAACACCTACCTGCAGATGTCAGATATTGAACATGGGACTTTCTACATGCAAAAGAGATGCTCTTATATTGAGTTGTATCTCTTCCTGCAGAATCTCTTCCAATTTAGGAGTGGTAATCCATTGGATTACCTGGGTTTGGCTCCCCAGATGCCAGTCCACTTTGATGTAGCTGTGAGTTGGAGTTCCTGACACACACACCCAACATTCATTACTAGGAATGGAGCCCCACACCAGTGCTGTGTGAGCAGCATTCCTTTTCTGTACCATGTGCACCAGCCTTTGTGCTGTTGCACAAAACATGGAAGACGGCTGCCAGTTGTACAACTTTGACTCTGTGAGTGTTTGCAGACTTCCTCTTGTTTTGGCTCACTTTCCATGGATAAAGCACAAATTCCAGAGGATGGATGCCACAGATCTTCAATGCATTCCTATTCCAGTTGGGAATGGATGATAATGTTAAGCCTGTCGAAAGTGAATCTCAGGAGAACACCAGTAATAGTAATTGGCACTTGGGACTTATTATAGTTATAGCACCTTGCAGAAATAGTCACCCCCTTGGCCTTTTCCACATTTTGTCATATAACAGCCTTGCAATTACAATGGAATGATTTGGCATTGTTACTGCTTGATGCATACAATCTACTCGGCACTGTGAAGGGAAACAATACTTTTATTGTAGCCCCAAAGTTAACAAAATCAAGCTGGCACTTGTAGGTTGCAGAAGTATTGTCACATACACAGACACACACAGCACAGCCAGTAC